TTTGATTGGCTGCATATATATAAATTCAATATAAACCCCTCTAATGTGTAGAGGATCGATTTGTGAGATTATTGCAGAAATACAGTCCACTTAACATCATACAAATTGCTATCGAAGTATACAAATTAATAAATATAAATCTCACAGGTCGGTTCCCACACCATTTTCTAATACGACAATTTTTGGAATTAGGTAGAGCATACGTCAAAATGCGACGTTCTATTAGGATGACGGGTGTGGTGTGTGTTTTCTCTAAACAATAATGGGTGTGCACTTTATAGTATAAAACTTTTATTTCATTATACCATCATATACATTCTAAATTCATGGTTAGAATTGTTCCATTTGGCGCGCACAGTTATCGGGTGGGAGCCCGGAGCAGCAGCCCCGTGAACCATGAAAAATCTATACTGAAAACATCTAGTGAGTTTGGCAGCAGGTGTTCTGGTCTACCTGACGGAGGTAGTAATCTGTGGGTAAGTACGCCATGCCGCCCGTGTGTGTGTGTGTGTGTGTGTGTGTGTGTGTGTGTGTGTGTGTGTGTGTGTGTGTGTGTGTGTGTGTGTGTGTGTGTGTGTGTGTGTGTGTGTGTGTGTCTCACCACTGCCCAGTTAGCCCGCTCTCTCTCTCTCTCTCTCTCTCTACTCACAAACACAAGATTATCTTCCCAACTTTGCAGCCTCGCCGACACCTGGGATAAATACCAGCAAAATGGCCGATGTTTAAGCGATGTTTCATATTTGGTGTTTACGAGAGAGTGCGGTAATGTCTGGGACCATTGCAAAAATGTGGTGGTGGCTGCCTAGGTGATGGCTGCCTCAGACAAGCCGAGGTGTCGAATAAAGAGCGTAGTGTGCAATTATGGTGTCTTCCTTTCTCGTCCCGAACCCCGAGCACTGGCAACGGCTTCCGGTCCAGGTTTCACGTTTATCGCGCGCGTATTTATAGACTAGGAGTGTTAATGTTCGAGAACTCTTGTATAGGTGATAGTGGTTTCTGTACGAATTGGTAATACGTGGTATTGTTTGTTTGTCGACGCTGGGGGGGGTTGTATACACGGAGATATCCGATGGATCCGAACAATAACTGCGACTTGAGCTACGGGTAATGGCAGCACTGACAAGCAACAAACTCCTGGCTTGTTCGACCCTTGCCTGTGAGGCAATTTTTCCATCCGAGGCGAGCGGCTTCACCCTCATCTTCCAGTCGCCCTCACCCTGCAGGTCCTCCGTCCCACCCACACCCTCCCGCCGCCTCCTTAACTCCTACATGATACCTCACCATGACCCCGCACTCTAATTATTATTTTTTTGAGGGGGTCCAGGATGTACTTTTTCCATAAATCAACTCCGCAAAAGTATCCGAATATCAAAGAAACGCACCGAAACTGGATGAAGAGAAAGGAGGACTTGGCCGCCGCCGCCTCCTCGTAGCCTAGCCACCATACCCGCACATTAGCCATTAGTTACGCCCTTTGCTAAACTCGCTTTATTAATTTCAATGGCTTTGTAATTGATTTCTAATACTACAGGCGGCGAAGGTAATAACAGGTGGCGGGATATGTGACAAATTTCACACAACAATTCTCATGTACATATGCAGATGAGGCTCTCAAATCGTTTATAATGACGTTCTAATTTTTGGGGGTTACTTTTTTTTTGGGGGGGGGATTGGTTCTCCCGATCTCTGATGTAATTAACGAAAGGTTCTCAAACATGTGATTCAAGAGGTATAAAGCGTGCTTCCTAATGTGTCTAAATGACTGTGGTGCCGTGCCTCGCTTGTTAGGCCGACCTAACTACGGTGTTTTGGGATCATTCTTGTACCAGCCACTATGCCCGCATCTTTATCTATTCATAATGCTTGAATTTTGTTCTGATATACCCGGATATTTATTGCATGTGTATCTATCCAGTTTTATCTATTATTCCGAAAAAGATGGAAAAGAGTATTCATCTCAGTTTATGCATCAGCACCAATCTATGTACACAGCTATCAATTTATTCATGTCTAAGTATTTATTTCAATCCATGAATTCAGCTGCTTCCATATACTTGTAAGTCGAAGTATCCGTCTTGACTTATTAATTATTTCTCGATGTATTCAATCATCTATTTAAATTTATCCATTAAAGCATCCATCTCATTCCATGCATTTAATATTGTCTTTGTATCCAATTATCCACTCAATCTATTTACACCATTTCAATCCACGTACTGACTTATCCATCCTAATATGTGGATTCACTATTCATTTTAGCCATTATATTCAATTATCCATATCAATCATCCACGTCAAACTATTTCCCGTAACCTGTGGCCAATAGATTCATCAATATATCCATTTATTATTTGGATGCATAAATGTGCAGGTTTGACGTTGGACTTAATAACCTTCCAGAGGTTGACAGGCCTTAAGACCGCTACAAGGTACTTACAGTGTGTGTACTCACCTAGTTGTGCTTGCGGGGGTTGAGCTCTGGCTCTTTGGTCCCGCCTCTCAACTGTCAATCAACTGGTGTACAGATTTCTGACCCTACTGGGCTCTATCATATCAACACTTGAAGCTGTGTATGGAGTCAGCCTCCACCATATCACTGTCTAATGCACTCCATTTGTCTACTACTCTGACACTGAAAATATTCTTTCTAACATCTCTATGGCTCATTTGGGCACTCAATTTCCTATGTCCCCTAGAACTTGTGTGTGTGTGTGTGTGTGTGTGTGTGTGTGTGTGTGTGTGTGTGTGTGTGTGTGTGTGTGTATATATATGTATATATATATATATATATATATATATATATATATATATATATATATATATATATATATATATATATATATATATATATATATATATAATTGAGAGTAGAAGCTAATATGTATGCGTACATGCCTGGGCGAATTGTATATGAATTTATATGATTTGTGCACATTTGCGTTATTCAGTAACGCATAACAATTACTAAAGTCACATTTCAATTGTGACAAACATCAGACAAGAAAGAAACCGCATTCAAATTAACTGACCAAAGAAAATGGGCAGCTGCATCTTTCTTTAATATGACAATAATTGTATAGAAAACGGTAATATATTAAGTTAATAAAAAGCCCAACTTAGGGTCCGGAGTTCGTCCCGTCACTTGAACATCTGTTCATGTGATTATGGGCGAAAATATAGTAAAAAGCAAGGCATCACATTGTTATAAAAGTTGAATGAAATATATTTGTTTTTTAAACACGAAAGGAAAGAAATTCTCCATTTAGAACCACATGCCGAAAATAAACAGTTCAATAACCTCAGAAAATTTTGAATTTATACATTTACGAACAACAAAACGCATACTTTTCGCTGAGAATAACTACGTGATAACGAGTTTGAAAATGGATTTGAAAAAAGGGACTCAGTTGAACCAAGTAAACACAAACAGTTACAGAATATAGCTGGATGACCCAAGGGCGAATGAGAGTTAAGAATAAGGAGGGAAAGAATACTGAGAAAGAAAATGCGAGATAGTAGAGAGGGGGAACAAGACCACCCAGGGGGTGGGGGAGGGAAGGGGGGGGAGAGAGAGAGAGAGAGAGAGAGAGAGGGAGGGAGAGAGAGAGAGAGAGAGAGAGAGAGAGAGAGAGAGAGAGAGAGAGAGAGAGAGAGAGAGAGAGAGAGAGAGAGAGAGAGAGAGAGAGAGAGAGAGAGAGAGAGAGAGAGAGAGAGAGAGAGAGAGAGAGAGAGAGAGAGAGAGAGAGAGAGAGAGAGAGAGAGAGAGAGAGAGAGAGAGAGAGGGAGAGAGAGAGGGAGAGAGAGAGAGAGAGAGAGAGAGAGAGAGAGAGAGAGGAGAGAGAGAGAGAGAGAGAGAGAGAGAGAGGAGAGAGAGAGAGAGAGAGAGAGAGAGAGAGAGAGAGAGAGAGAGAGAGAGAGAGAGAGAGAGAGAGAGAGGAGAGAGAGAGAGAGAAGGAGAGAGGGAGAGAGAGGAGAGAGGGAGAGAGAGAGAGAGAGAGAGAGAGAGAGAGAGAGAGAGAGAGAGAGAGAGAGAGAGAGAGAGAGAAAGGCGAGGCTGTGGAAGTAATATCGAGGAACAAGGCGGAGGAGGAGAATGGTACACGGGAAAGACGACGACAGAATGCAAGGGAAAGGTGACTATAGTGCACAAAGGGGGGATGGGAAAGTGACTACAGAGCACAAAGGGGGATGGGAAAGTGACTACAGAGCACAAAGGGGGGGATGGGAAAGTGACTACAGAGCACAAAGGGGGGATGGGAAAGTGACTATAGTGCACAAAGGGGGGATGGAAAAGTGACTACAGAGCACAAAGGGGGGGATGGGAAAGTGACTACAGAGCACAAAGGGGGGATGGGAAAGGTGACTACAGAGCACAAAGGGGGATGGGAAAGGTGACTACAGAGCACAAAGGGGGATGGGAAAGTGACTATAGTGCACAAAGGGGGGGATGGGAAAGTGACTACAGAGCACAAAGGGGGGGATGGGAAAGTGACTACAGAGCACAAAGGGGGATGGGAAAGGTGACTACAGAGCACAAAGGGGGATGGGAAAGGTGACTACAGAGCACAAAGGGGGATGGGAAAGGTGACTACAGAGCACAAAGGGGGGATGGGAAAGGTGACTACAGAGCACAAAGGGGGGATGGGATAGTGACTACAGAGCACAAAGGGGGGATGGGAAAGTGACTACAGAGCACAAAGGGGGGATGGGAAAGTGACTACAGAGCAAGGGGAAAAGTTGAGCAAAACTCTGAAGGCACTTCAAGAAGTTATACAAAAAAGGGAAGATAGTTCAAGAGGATGAGAAGAGGAGAAAAAGAGTATAACCAAAAGTGGAGTAAAAAAGGTAAAGAAGAAGATGATGAGAGAGAGAGAGAGATGAGTGGCGCCCCCTCCAACCCCAGGCCCCCCACGACAGACTGGAGGATCCAGCTAGCCAGCAGCATCACCGCTGGCGGACCACCACCGTCGCCGCCACCATCACCATCGCTCTGGTTATCGATGGCCCCGATCACAATCATCACCATTATCAACGTGGCGGGTAATGCCAATCATTACGGAGGCAATTACTCTCACTATCGTTCTTACTCATCATTACACCACTCCCTAAATGTGAATATCATTGGCGCTGTTACAATATTCCTACAGAGGGCGCGGCAGAGGTATTGCCCCAAGTCACGACATTAGAGGAATTCTCACACGAATGGTCGTGAAGGCATTTGTAATAGCCCAATGTGGACATTTTTTTATATTTCCTCTCGATGATTTCTTGTTTTTTTCTGAACAAGACGAAGTTGTGTTTAATTCGGTACGTTTTATTGATTTAAGATGCGAGCAGCTCTTAGAGTCAATAATTTCTCGATGTTGCAGACGATGACGTGGCTGAAATATGTTGACCAAACCACACACTAGAAAGTGATGGGACGACGTTGTTTCGGTCCGTCCTGGACCATTCTCAAGTCGATTCTCACAATCGACTTTAGAATGGTCCAGGACGGACCGAAACGTCGTCGTCCCTTCACTTTCTAGTGTGGTTTGGTCAACAATTTCCCAATGTTATTTTCTGATCCTTTTTTAGCCTGAAAGGAATCAATACGATATGGATAATAGAAATATAAGCATTTCTTGACCAAAGGGCAGATTTATCTGTGTTAGAATAGGACATGTTAATTTTTCATAATGAAAAGATTTGTCGTCATATTCCTGTTACAAAAATACAATGAACCACCTTACAAGATGTATTATTTTCCATCATAAACACTAGTTAAATCAGTATTGCAATATTTATCTGAGGCGTCATCATCTCTTTAGTGGCCTCGACGGGGACAGGAAGTCGGTGACTTGTCTAAGAACCCCCCCCCCTCTAGTTTTTCCAGAGGATTTCTTTTAACTGGAATAATAACTTGGCATTTGTGGGTTGGTTGTGTACTGGGTTCATACCCATATGTGAGAAAAAGCATTTCCTGCTTTCTGTTTAACATTAAGTTTGAAGCTGGTGTCCCTTGTATGTGTGACATTTGACCTCAGCCCAAACCAGACTCAACATGAAACGCAATCCAGCTGGAACACCCAAGCGGTGGAAATAATAAATGATGCCATGCTCCATACTGTATCATCATGAAAGGAGAAGTGGTGGATGAAGTGCCTTAGAATAGTGGGCGTCACCCATGCAGGGCACTTTCTTTTGGTAGTTCCTATGTCTGCAAAAGGACGCGTCTAGACTCAGAGACCCTCCTTACTGCAGTGGCCCTTTGCCTTGGTGCCCCAATTTACACTGAATACAAATGTATTTGCAACATGGTTTTAGCCGACCAATACGGATTACATGTGCGGCACTACAGGAGGTTGAAGGGTTGACGTGCAAGACACAACGAAGTTAATGATAAGAGGATCCTTTCTTCAGCCCGGTGCCCTGTAGAGAGAACCTTGCATTATAATGGTCCAAAACCCCGGCCATCCCACACTTGGCCCTAATGGTATCACAATAAACCCATTCAAGGGTATATTAAGAGAGGGCAAGGAACTGGTGAGGGGCTACACTTATGTGTTCATCACCCTGGCTGAAATGTATATACGTTTCAGTGCTGAACCAGCCCGTCTTTCTAATTCCCCAACGTCATGAAACTGTCGTGCTAAAGACCCCTATCTTAACCTACCAGAAGACCAATAACAGAAAACGGGACATTATGCCATTTTCGCGAGCCGCTTCCATTTCCTAGTACGACGATTTTTGGCCTTAGGTAGAATATACGTCAAAATGCGACGCTCTATTTGAAGGACGGATTGCTGAACAGGCAGATGGTGTAGGAAGGAATTATGAGGGAAAGCGCCAAGTCATTATGACTATATAGCACTTGGAAGGGGTCAGGTTAAGGATTTGGGATGGGACGGGGGGGAAGGAATAGTGCTCAACCACTTAGACGGTCGGGGATTGAACACCGACCTGAATGAAGCGAGACCGTCGCTCTAAGGCAGGTGGTGTAACTAATCACAGGTAAGCAATAAAATCAAACAAATACAGGTAACTGAAAGGGCAGTACACTCTTGTTCAAATAGCAACTGAAACATTTGGGTCCTGGGGTAAGGGTGCTTTGAGCTTTTTCAAAGAATTGGGTTGTAGGCTCATTGACACTACCAGAGACTCAAGAGCTGCCGGTATCCTGTTTCAGTGCTTCAGTGTGGCGATACAGAGGGGAACTGCCTGCCGTGCCTTCGGTTTCTGTACGGAAGCTGACGAATTCCAAGAGATCCACAACCTCTAACTTTTCAGTGTATTCATATTATGTATGTATGTATGTATGTATGTATGTATGTATGTATGTATGTATGTATGTATGTATGTATGTATGTATGTATGTATGTGAGTGTATAGTACAGTTTAGGATATATATTCACATTCACCGAGGAGTGTATCCAACTCCACCTTGTATATACACAAAGTTTATTTAGTCCCAGATTACGGGGTTATTCATGCCCGTGCCACCTCTTGGGTGGATTAATCTTCATCAAATTTAGTCCTAACTGTGTTCAGGACTAAAATATACTTGCTGGTTGGTCAGTAAGTTGTAGTGGAGAGTCCTCCAGAGGCCGATAGGCGTCAAGCCAAACAGTTAAGACATAAGACAGTTCATGAAATGTGAAAACGAAGCATCTCTCTCGTTATTAACAGACAGAACCAAACAAAGCACTCGTTCCTTGCGTGTGAGGATAATGATTACTGCAAGTGGCAACATTATCTCCTCATACTCACGCAGTGGATGATCAAGTGAATCAATAACACAACGTACGTGTCACTGGATGATGACTGTCTATGGCAATAACACATACGCGTGCCGTGGGTGATTGCGGACGACGAACACATACGCGTGCCGTGGGTGATTGCGGACGACGAACACATACGCGTGCCGTGGGTGATTGCGGACGACGAACACATACGCGTGCCGTGGGTGATTGCGGACGACGAACACATACGCGTGCCGTGGGTGATTGCGGACGACGAACACATACATACAACATACGACTGCACTGTTAACTGACCCTCTGCAATACGGCATGAAGCTTCTCTCCAGCAGCTCGATAAACTCAATGATTCACGACACGGGCAACAATGAATACAATGTACAACCCAGGTTTCCAGTACAGTCCAGGTTTACAAAGTCTTCCCCGCTTTACTAAACTGGCTTTACCTTCTCTAAACATCGGTAAACTTGTAAGAATATATGAATAGAATTTTATATTGTATTTGGGACTAAATTTAACCTAAAAACGGAAACTGGAGACTTTACAGTGTTCCATGCACCAGTCGCTCACAGTCCTTGTTCCACGCACCAGTCGCTCACAGTCCTTGTTCCACGCACCAGTCGCTCACAGTCAGTGTTCCACGCACCAGACGCTGACAGTCAGTGTTCCACGCACCAGACGCTCATTGTTCCACGCACCAGTCGCTCACAGTCAGTGTTCCACGCACCAGACGCTCACAGTCAGTGTTCCACGCACCAGACGCTCATTGTTCCACGCACCAGTCGCTCACAGTCAGTGTTCCACGCACCAGACGCTCACAGTCAGTGTTCCACGCACCAGTCGCTCACAGTCAGTGTTCCACGCACCAGACGCTCACAGTCAGTGTTCCACGCACCAGACGCTCACAGTCAGTGTTCCACGCACCAGTCGCTCACAGTCAGTGTTCCACGCACCAGACGCTCACAGTCAGTGTTCCACGCACCAGACGCTCATTGTTCCACGCACCAGTCGCTCACAGTCAGTGTTCCACGCACCAGACGCTCACAGTCAGTGTTCCACGCACCAGACGCTCACAGTCAGTGTTCCACGCACCAGACGCTCATTGTTCCACGCACCAGTCGCTCACAGTCAGTGTTCCACGCACCAGACGCTCACAGTCAGTGTTCCACGCACCAGACGCTCATTGTTCCACGCACCAGTCGCTCACAGTCAGTGTTCCACGCACCAGACGCTCATTGTTCCACGCACCAGACGCTCACAGTCAGTGTTCCACGCACCAGACGCTCATTGTTCCACGCACCAGTCGCTCACAGTCAGTGTTCCACGCACCAGACGCTCACAGTCAGTGTTCCACGCACCAGACGCTCACAGTCAGTGTTCCACGCACCAGACGCTCACAGTCAGTGTTCCACGCACCAGTCGCTCACAGTCAGTATTCCACGCACCAGACGCTCACAGTCAGTGTTCCACGCACCAGACGCTCACAGTCAGTGTTCCACGCACCAGTCGCTCATTACCCGGAGGCCCACATCATTACTTCTGCTTCAAGTAATGAAGCTGGCTAATGAGGACGTGTAATTGGCGATAATTAGTGTAGCGGGCGCACCCTCGCGATACAGGGCCGCAAGAAAGCCTGGCGCCTCTGATCAACCTGCCTGTTGTCCCTGCACTCTTGGGCTTTATCTCGCTGCATTAGCCACGGTGGTGGAGCCTTGACCACCTGGATCCACTCTTTATCCCTTTGTCTATCGCGTCACTGTAGCTTTCTTTGTGTCTGTTGGATTAGCCTTGTTCTGGCTCTACTGTTTCTGCTTCACTCCAGGTCTGACTGAATGCCTTACTCCTTTACCTGCTGCTGTTAACGGATAAGCGAAACTAGATATATGGATTGCCAATTGCTTCTTACGAACAGGAGGAGCACGTGCGGATTGTCGGCTCATCCTTCTGGTACCTAACGTGCGTCACTTAATTCGCATTTTTCAGTTATTGGAATTTAGCTTTTTCTCTTCAGTGTTCTATAATTAGCAGTCTCACGTGGGCATATTTCGTCACCTCCAAAGGATACCTGATCAACCAGGATGTGATTTGTACGTCAGGCTGAGAGCAGCCGCGTCCAACAGCCTAGTTGACTAGTCCAGCAACGAGGAAGCCTGGTCGACGACCGGGCCGCAGGGACGCTAAGCCCAGGAAGCAGCTCACGGTAACGTAAGCAATACGTGTAAAGGAATATCTTTATATATGTGCCAGTGATGCTCTCTTGTTTTAACCCGTAATGGCAAGATGGCCTTATTCACTACGTTAATCATCAGTTGAGCAAACTGCACACTAGAAAGGGACGACGACGTTTCGGTCCGTCCTGGACCATTTTCAAGTCGATTGTGACAAGTTCTCAAGTTCTCACAATCGACTTGAGAATGGTCCAGGACGGCCCGAAACGTCGTCGTCCCTTCACTTTCTAGTCTGTGGTTTAGTCAACATATTTCAGCCACGTTATTGTGACTCCTCGTCTGCTTTATCATCAGTTTTCTCCCCGGCTCCTCCACGGACGTGGCCACAAATTAGCAGGAAAGCAGATCCAGTTACACACTCCTTATAGGTACAAATGGGAATTCAACTTTCGACAAACACATTTTCTTATCGTATTAAAGTTTTTGCGGTGTCATTTTGAAATAAAGAAGCTCGGGGTCAGCCTAATACATTAAGAAATATTAGCAGTTATAGAGACGATTTTATAACTGCTATAACTGAGGCGATTTTCATGGCAAGTGTGGAATATTTGGCGTTTCCTCAGTTTTCAGTGCTTCTTGATAATAAATTTTATGAGAAATGAGGAAGAGGGGGAAGCGGAGGAGGGGGAAGCGGAGGAGGGATAAAGATATGGGGGAGAAGATATGGGTGAGAAGATATGGGGGGGAAGATATATGGGGGGACTGGTATTTAATAGGGAGAAAGGAGGACAGAGGTTTGAGAGGAAGATATGAGAGGGGGGGGGGTCGAAAAAGGAGGGGTAAGGCGGAGGAAAAGGGGAAGACAGATAGGGAAGGAGAAACGGGATGGGGGATAGGGGATGGAATACGAGTTGGGTGGATGGCGACTGTCCCGAGCACCGCCGGGTCCCTCTTAAAGTACATTAAAAAGCAGTTTCGCCCGACATGTTCATGCGGTATAACCAACCTTCACCAGTTTCTCATTTTCTGTCGCGAACAGAAAACGAAAACATCCCGGTGGTTGTCCACACCTCCTTGGAGGAGATAATATGGAATTCGTGAGTTTATCGTGTTCTTCACCGCGTCATGTACGTTTGTCTAGAGGTCAAGTGCTCTCCGGAGCCTTAACCTGTGCTGATCTTACGATATCCGACCCACCAGTCTGGGGTCTTGAAGGACAAGCTCGCATTTCAAGGACGAGCCCGTATAGAATGTCCCATATTGTCTAACTTTCGCCCTCCTGGGCTGAGGTATGCTGAACTGTGTAATTACTATATGAGTACTGGAACACTTGATGATATATTGGACTTGTATCCAAGATTGACCATGTAATGTATCATTTATACAATGTATGTATGTGATGCACCTCAAGGTAGATGTAACTATATAATCTGAGCTTGTAAAAGCACCTTAATCACCTTCAGTGATTAAGTGCTTAATTGCACACTAGTTTCTCTGTCAGCTATCTCACCCTGTCAAAGTAAAAGAGACAAATGTATGTGAATGCATGTGTGTGTATATATGCATGTATATATGTATATGTACGTATATATATGTGTGTATCTATATGTGTGTATAAAGTACATATGGAAGCTGATCAGAATAGCATTTCACCTTTGTAAATGCACATTAATGACACTTCGAACACTTTATGTAGGGCATACGTAAATCTGTGTATCTATGTATTTACGTATGTAGGTTAGCTTAGCATTTTAAAAGCACCGAATCACCTTCTGTGGTTGATTGTTCAATAAATCCCTGAACTATATGTTTAACTGATCTCTAACCCTGTCTATGGAGGACAGAAGAAAATGTATATATGCTGGTTAGCATTGTAAATGTGTGGCCACGTTTGTGGTAGAAAATAATGAAAAGAAAATAAAAAATAAAGAAAAAAAAAATTCAAGGACGAGCCCGTGTGGCTCGCATTTCCACGAGCAACTTTCTCACTCGTGGTTTAGGCTACCACACATCTCTTATATATAAACACACTTGTCTTTCTAGTTCTTGTTGTTTAAGATTCGCTACTTGGAACAAAAAGTTCCAAGTAGCACGGGCTATGGTGAGCCCATTGTGGAACAGGAGCGGGGCTGTAACTTGATCTTTCTAGTCATTTTCCTGGATTTATAAAGGAACTTTCAACCGTATGATAGCGTTAGGACCGACCGAAGACCACCAGTGAGGTGCTGGAGATTCCCGTGAACTCTGGATCCTCTAGAGGAGTTTAAGGTAACACCAGTGCTCTATGCCAGACATCGACTCTTGACCAGACGGGAGATATCTCCCGTCACGCAGGGTGCAGTCGACCCTCCACAGATCTCCAGTATCAGCTCTTGATACTGGTAATGGCCCAAAAGGGCCACCACTTACGGGCTATTCATGCCCGTGCCACCTTTTGGGTGGCTTAATCTTCATCAATCAATCATCTCCACCAGGACCCAAGGTAATTAAACATACCTCTAACAGCCAATTAAGGCGTGTTCCATTATGCGGTCAACTGTAGTTGCAGATTTGATATGTTTATTATTTGTTTATAACTAGCCTGGCTATAACAGGGGCTATAATAGCCCCTATAACAGGGGGCCTGACAACTGAGTGGATAGCGCTCGGGATTCGTAGTCCTGAGGTTCCGGGTTCGATCCCCGGTGGAGGCGGAAACAAATGGGCAGAGTTTCCTTCACCCCGATGTACCTGTTCACCTAGGAATAAATAGGTACCTGGGGGTTAGACAGCTGCTACGGGCTGCTTCCTGGGGAGGGGGGTGTAACAAAAAGGAGGCCTGGTCGAGGACCGGGCCGCGGGGACGCTAAGCCCCGAAATCTCCAGATAACCTCTCCAGATAGCATAATTCAGTTACTGCCCGAAGAACACCAACATTACGAGGAAGTAAGGCAATAAATGCCTCTTGTTATCAAGATTTGTGTCGTAAAAATTAAAATTTCATAATTTGTTTCAACTTTAATGTCTTCAATAATTGTAAAATATTCCCTCTCAACAGAGAATCAACATTCCTTCTGTCCACGTAATTCATCCAACCGGTACAGTCATCCCTGGTGTCCCTAGCCTCGTCTGTTCCTACCGTCCCAGTGTCCCTAGCCTCGTCTGTTCCTACCGTCCCAGTGTCCCTAGCCCCGTCTGTCCCTACCGTCCCAGTGTCCCTAGTCCCGTCTGTCCCTACCGTCTCGGCGTCCCTAGCCTCGTCCGTTCCTACCGTCCCGGCGTCCCTAGCCTCGTCCGTTCCTACCGTCCCGGCGTCCCTAGCCTCGTCTGTTCCTACCGTCTCGGCGTCCCTAGCCTCGTCTGTTCCTACCGTCTCGGCGTCCCTAGCCTCGTCTGTTCCTACCGTCTCGGCGTCCCTAGCCTCGTCTGTTCCTACCGTCTCGGCGTCCCTAGCCTCGTCTGTCCCTACCGCCTCGGCGTCCGTAACCTCGTCTGTTCCTACCGTCCCAGTGTCCCTAACCCCCGTCTGTCCCTACCGCCCCGGTGTCCCTACCGTCCCAGTGTCCCTAACCTCGTCTATCAACAAACCCATAAACACCGGGCCGACGGTATGTGCTAAGCGCTCCTCCGACAAATCCCTATTACACCTGCCTTATCAGCCAGGTATCTGGTCCGCGTTCCTCCACACCAGCCGCCACAATTACAACCCAGATAAGCAGCACGGGTGTCGTCCACACTAAGTACTCGGCCAAAGTGATCTACAACACCAGTGTGTTGTAATAACCAGCCTGACGTGGAGTCCGTCCTCCGTGGAGGTACCGCCACCTGTCTTTGACACGCTATATTCTTTCGCTAGGTTCGTGTTCATTGTAATTATTTCTCCGGTAAACTTTTTTTGGTATTAATCGACCATACTGGTTTGTGTATTTCTTAAGCAGCACTTTTGTTTCAATGTATTTTGGTCTTGGACTCGCGAGTTGGGGATTATATTGAGATTTTAGGTTATAATCAAGACATTACGAAAAATCACATTTAGTTTTTTAAATGAATATTAATAAGTACACGAGCCCGTTATTTTATTAGCGTATTAGACGTGTAGAAATAAAAAGCAAAATAAATTTAATTTCCGAGAGAGAGAATATATTGATGTTTTATCTCCTATCTCTGTCAGATACCATGGGAGTTTAATTTTAAAGAAACTGATAAACATACGTGGACAATAAATTTAATACCAAAGCCAGAGGATCCAAGTTCGAATCCTCGACAGCTTTCAATAATTGGGACCTGGATTAAAACTTACTAGTTTCTCCACAAAATAATCTAAACCGATTCCAGTACCTAGCAAGAAGCCTTAAAAATGACAGTAAAAAAAAACTTTAAGGAAGAAATATCATAAACAGGTTTGGTGTTGGGCTTAATGCCTATCATCCTCTGGAGGGTTATTAAGGCCGCCACAACGACTTACTGACCAACCAGCATGCATACTTTAGTACTAAACATAGTCCAGGACTAATGTTGTTTTAGATTTAACTAATCAGAACGAAGTGTCCATGTAGCACGGGCTATGGTGAGCCCGTAAAACCAGGAATAAAGTAAACTCAGTGTATATAGTCCCAGAAGCGGGATACACCTCAGTGTATATAGTCCCAGAAGCGGGATACACCTCAGTGTATATAGTCCCAGAAGCGGGATACACCTCAGTGTATATAGTCCCAGAAGCGGGATACACTTCAGTGTATATAGTCCCAGAAGCGGGATACACCTCAGTGTATATAGTCCCAGAAGCGGGATACACCTCAGTGTATATCTTCCTTGATAGTAATCTTTTTATTTTAACGTCCTTAGCAGTAATATTCAGTAGACATAGCTTAATCGACTGAATCGTATTTGAGTCGATTAAGGCAGCGTCTGGGATGCTCTCGGACTTAGGTTCGAATCCTCGTCACGGCCCTTGTGGATTTGTTCATTCAGTAGACTATACAGATCAAAACATTTCAAGCTAATAATGCTCCAAACGGTTGGCCAAGCAACCTGACCTACAAAAATACATCGGTTTTCGCTCGTATGCGTTACATTAAGGCCAAAAATCGTCGTACTAGAAAATGCAAGCGGCTGGCGAAAGTGACGTACTGTCCCGTTTTCTGTTTTGGGTCCTCTGGTAGTTTAGGAGAGGACAATTTGTTCTGGACACTTTAAATTGACCGTTTTCCTTAACGTTGGGAAACTTTGGGAGGACGGTCTGGTGTGTGTCGAATGTTTCTAGTTAAGTAGAACAATTTTTTTGTTAAGGAGTACCAAATGGTGAGCTTTGGTTGCTCTCCGGCTGTGCCGCACTAGTTTGGTATGCTCAAGGCCTATCAACCTCTGGAGGGTCATGAAGGACAGACACTACAATAGCTAACTAACCAACTAGCGAGACTCTTTAGCCCTAGACTAAGATAAACTCTCTAGTATGAAGACTAATAATAAATAACAGCTTTATAATGCTCTAATGTCCCTAAACTTTAAATATTTTAAATACTAGCAAAATAACTATCAATGTATAATAATCTATGTATATACATATTGGAATATTTTGTGCGTGTAATTAGCTGACATAATTAATAATTACATCTAACCTGCGCACCATATAATGTAAAAATCTCTGCAGAGGTCTCATTTAAACCCTTTGTTCTCTCTAGACCTTATTGCGCTACCGCTCACAGGATGGGTATAGGATGCATAATAAACTAGCCAACAATCTCAGTGTGCATGCACCAAGGTATACTGCACATATATGTGCACACTGTGTATATCCCTTGACACTGACATAGTTGCTTGCTGGGGGGTTTTAAAACCTTAATTCTGATGAACAGTATGTAGTGCTAAATGCAGTTTATCTTTCCTATTGCTATTACGTCGCTTGCTAAATTGTAATTATCTTCATGATGCGAAAGTTGTACACATTCTGAAAACATTACCGTGAAGATACAGGACGAATGTAAAGTTAAATGTATGGAAAGAATTATTCTCGGTTGGTCTCTTAGAGTGGCCGATAATGCAAATTCCTGCATTAGTTAAAATATACAACAAAACAATGATAATTATGTTTGAATATACTGCACACATTGTAATGTACTGATGTCATGTTCAACAAGCTCTTACGATTCTTGGTTATGATGCCTTGATACTCTACAATCAGCTGAAGTATGCAAGGCTGACTTGTATATTATCCTTATGCAAATAAATCTCCACTAAATTTAAATGTTACTTTTTAATTTCAACTTATGAAGAAGCAGCCTGTAGTATTTAACGTATGCGGATTTTGCTAATAAAAAATTAGTGTAAACATGTTTCTATTGCAGACGTTTAGGCCTCAGGAAGATACTGTTATCTCTAGGACTGTAATCGTCGTCTTGATCTTCTGTACAATTACCTATTGAGTAATCCCCCCAAATTATTAATGATGTTCCTTAGCAAAACAATACTGAAGGTTCAATTTCTCCCATAAACTAGATATTCAAAGCTTAAGCCACATTTTGTACCCAGAAGACTAGCAGCAATGAAGACATTTATAAATAAAACAACAATATAATCACAGTGTCCAGCAATATCAGAGTTAACGCAAACCACATCGGCGGTAAATTCTCTTAAAGTACTACATGATTGTATCTCTGCCGGTCAGAAAGTGGGGGAAAAACTGGCTAGGAGCGAGATGGGACGGACCATGGAATATGACCACAAGGCCAGAATGTGATCAGCGGTTATGTGCATATCGTACCCTTGTCGCCCTCTGCTCCTGGTCTCATCAAACCCATAATCTAACCAGCTTCCAGCAATGACATGAAGATAAAACTGGAGGAGCAACGGGGCACCTGTAGCCCGAGTCAGTTGGGTCCAGAAAACGAGCAAATTCGTTAGACAGCCACAGCCAGCTGTGTTGCATTCCTCAAGTACAAAATGCCTTGGTTTATAAAATGAATACCTGTTACTGGCGACTCCTGCAATGCAACAGTTCTTGTTAACCGAACCGAATCATTGAAATTTTAACATTGATACTGAATACTGATTGTTAACGGCTTGATCTATATCACATATTTGACCTCGTCTAACCTTCCGAACCTTATATGTAGACACAAGAATAACAATAATACAGAGTAATCACACTAACGTGAATGCATCAATGAGAAAATCCGTAGCATCAGTGATGAAGGTTCGATCCTATGGATTTTCACATTGATGCAGTTACGCGAGTGTGATTACTGTGTGTGTTGAACAAGGAGCGCCAGAGGGAGAACACGTCCTAGATGACAAAGCCAGAGTACATAGGGGGGGGGGGGGATTATGTTCTTAAAGTGTTATATCAAATACAGGCCAAAATAACAATCCTGATAGTTACTATAGAAGCTTGAAACAATTAGTACACACATTATCTTTTCTTTAAATTCAAGAGAATTCATTAACTTAATTAAAACGCCATAAGAAAAGGTCACCGCCTTTCACAGTTGAAACTGGTCGTGTCTGGGCGCTATCGGTGACGTTTGGTCCAGCATAATGCCGGTCTCCAGGTTTGATATACTAATCAAGAAGGCTTAATATTCACGGCAGGAACCAATGAATATAACGAGTCTGCTAGCGATCTAATCTCTCAAGTTATGGTAGATATAACGATATAAAGCGAATCGTGCTAGCACAGCAAGTCAGCAGTCGAGTGCTATATTGCAGCCACTCATTTTTAGACCGTGAAATTTCTCTAAAATTGTATAGTTTAACTAAAGAATTTCATTATAAGCGTAAGGCGATAATAGTATACTTTAATAAACCACGATGGTAGGCTTGTTAGGTTTACAAGATAGCACAACAAACTACCTGCTCTACCATAATGTAAACACGATGAGATGATTAACACCTAATGTAATCTAATCGACCCCTTATTCACCATTTCGTAGGCTTACAGTGTCTTCGCTTCTACTGTACTAGAGCTGACGTACTTACCCCTAATCCTTTCTAACGTTTCGTCGTGGATTCTTATGATTCCATAAAAACTCACATTTCTAATGATTACATATTCCATTGAAACAAACAATTCGCTATTATTTCTAGTGTCTAAAAATGATGCATGTTTTGCAAGGTCGGGTTGATATCAGTTGCTATTAATGAAGTAATGTGAAGAGCATTATTTAACATTTCATTAAAGCCGTTGCGCCTCCGTGTAATCTTTGGATTTCAGTTTGATCAATTAGCTATGTGAGTTTATTTTACTGTTTAAGTCTCTAGAAAGTATCGCATAAATATTACCAACAGTATATACTTAATATATATGCTAATGGGATGAGGCGTTCTCAATATATGGAGGGAAAGCCTTCGAAAGAATGAATAATATCCTACCTGCCGATCTTGAGCTATAGGGCCAGCGATCTATGTGAGGTCATTAGTAGAGAACACCATCTTTAATTTAGACAGCTTTATTAGTAAAGTATTCTTGGACTAAGGTATTCTTGCTGGTTGGTCAGTAAGCTGTTGCTGTTCCCTTCCACAGGTTAATCGGCGTCAAGCCAATTCAACAACCCAAACCGAAGAGATTCATTGGCCAGGAAAAAATTAACGGTGACTTTAGGTATTTTATTCTGATATCCTCTGTGATACTGAACGATAATGTGTAGGTCATGCCAGGTACAATTTGAATTGTTATCATAAGCCCTCGTCTCTTCTGGCATGGATTACTGAACACATTCCAAATGGCTGCGTCTCTCAAATAACTGAGTAATTATTAATGGTAATGATCCCCCCAAAAACAATTGCGGTACCTCAGAGGGGTGGGGGGGGGGGGGGTAAGGTTTAAGGCAGCTGGCGGCTAAAATTCCATTATTATCACACGTATTCTTTTGTTAATTTGCTTGTGGCGTCTAGTGTTTAGAGCTCAGTCACTAATATAACGCGAAGGAAGAACAATTGATTACCTTCACCATCCACCCACCACGCTAGAGAACCACTACTGTGAGCCACACCATCCACCCACCACGCTAGAGAACCACTACTGTGAGCCACACCATCCACCCACCACGCTAGAGAACCACTACTGTGAGCCACACCATCCACCCACCACGCTAGAGAACCACTACTGTGAACCACACCATCCACCCACCACGCTAGAGAACCACTACTGTGAGCCACACCATCCACCCACCACGCTAGAGAACCACTACTGTGAACCACACCATCCACCCACCACGCTAGAGAACCACTACTGTGAGCCACACCAGCCACCCACCACGCTAGAGAACCACTACTGTGAGCCACACCAGCCACCCACCACGCTAGAGAACCACTACTGTGAGCCACACCATCCACCCACCACGCTAGAAGACCACGTCGCTCACTAGTGAGTTTCAGATTTTGTACATATTTCAATCGTCAACTCTATATATTTTGTTCGTCAGTGAGCCGGGTATTTAATATTAGGGGTCAAGGGTGCGTGGGTTCAAAACATAATATTCATTCGCGTGTATATTTAACTTGTATTTATCCATGTTTCCCAACTCTTTATATGTCATAATTAGGGATATTAATAAAGGAGGAGGAGAAATACACGTAAATAAGATACTTTTCAAATAACACAAATGCTAGTATAATTTAACAAATTATTATAAATTACCTTATTAATCATAGTTTCCCATCAAACCCCAAGGAAAATGAATACCTGAAGACTTTAATGTAACTTTGCAAAGACGAAACATTTAAGCAATTTTAACAGCAAAGGAAAACCCCAGCAGAGAAAAATAGGCGAGATAATGACTTAATACCCCTTCATGAAGGGAAATGAGCCATTACTAAGAGTAACAAGTCGGTTACATACTCCCCCGCATTGCCCGCATCGCATCGGGGAGTTTTAAGGCCCTTAAAGAATGCCTCGTTACTCGGGTTATGGCTGTCATTTATACATATTTTGATAACAACTTAATAATAACCTCCTGGATCTCCAATGATGTCGACGTGAGCGTGTTTTCGCCTAGATGTGCTTGCAGGAATAAGGGCTTCTAGCATCGTCTTTAGAAGGTTCTTCGAGTAATGTAATGATTGTTTTACGTTATCATATTTACACTACACACAGAAATCACAATTGCGTGATGCATCAAATGAACAAAGTTTGTGCCTCGGAGAGGCTGCAGGATCCAGTAAGTTCAGGAGAACTTCGGTTTCAACTCTTTTTACCATGTCGTAGCTCAGTCGATTAAGGCAGCGTCTGGGATGCTCTCGGACGCAGGTTCGAATCCTCGTCACGGCCCTTGTTGATTTGTTCATATATATACACTATTTTTTTTTAATCTAAATTGGGTACTACCTCTGGTGCAAGTCTAGGGACCCATAGACTCGGAGAAGAAAATAAAGAGTGCTCAGATAAGACCTTGTGGATCCCCACTGAACACTTTGATATTTTCTTCTTAAAATTTTGTACAGAGTAGCTACAATGGCTAGTTCATCTTACGTATTGAAATTATTGACGACTCTCTTATTAAAGTGTTTTTCCTGACATCTGTGACCCATTTGTTTGTCTAGTTTTCATCTGTGCTTCATTGTACATCAGTTCATAGCTTTGAGCAATGTTACTTTGTCTATTATGTCAGTCTCATAAAATCTTGTATATCATTATCATGTCCTCTATATTCTTTCTACTTTGCAATGTGGTGAGGTTCAGTCTTTCCTAGTAGGTCAAGCCCCTCGTCTCTGATGCATCCCTTGTCGCATATTTTTGGCTCTTTTCTAATTTTGACTCTTGTTTTGAGATGAAGGTTTCACCTGACATTAGATTTGAATACTACGTCTACTCCAATGTGTCTCTCTATTTGCGATGCAGAAATCATTCCCCCTTCATTTTATACTTCTGTAGAGGTCTTTTCACTTCCGGTCTTTTTCTCAACTTTACATTTGACTAGATTAAATTCTAACATACATTTTTTTAATTACTTTTGAAGTGTGTCCAAATCCGTTTACAGGGTATCAGTCCCCATATCAGTCTTGACTTTTTTTGTTAGTGTTGCACCAAACACTTGTATGAATAAGCAAATTTCTCTATCTGGGAATTGGCATATACTAAAAAAAAAAGTATGGGCATTAGTCCACTAGAATGCCCTTTACCTTGTAATACTCGATTCGTCATCGCTGACTACTCTGATATCTCTATTCTTACTGTAACCCTTCGCGTTCATCCCGAGAGGTACTCCCTCAATCACATTAGCATTTTTTTCAGATACACCAAGTTTCTTCTCAAGCTTGATTAGGATTATCTTGTGTGGGACAAAATCAAATCTTTTCTGACTGTTAAGAAAAATTCAGTCTGCCCATCCCTTTCTCTGATTTCTTTCATCTTTGTCAACTCTAACAGTAAGAATTTTCCCTCATTAAATTCATGTTGGGTTTTAAAGTCACAATTTAGCTGTTCTAAATACTCTAAGAGCCTGCTTTGGTCTCTTACTAGTAAATTGCAGGGGATTTTTGCTAAAGATACTTATCTGTAGTTCAGAGGATCTCTATTCCCCCTCTTAGTACAATGATGCCACATTAGCCATTTTCCAAGTCTTGAAGCTCTCCCTTTTACAGAGTTGTTGAATATTATAGTATGGGAGATTGCACAGTGTTTCTGTTGCATTTTTTGGTATCCAGGGCGATATCTTGCCTGGCTCAATGACTTTGGTACGTACAGTTCTAGTCCCATTTTTTTTACTTCTGGTGACATTACCAATCATTATGGCCGAAGAGGAGGACGACGAGGGAGAGAATCAGTAATAGCGAGAATCCGTCTTGGATGCAAATATCCATGGAGATTTGGAATGGAAACAACAGTTGATCAGCGAAGTTGCAGAATCTGTGGTGAGAGTGATGGACACCGCCTTGACCACTATCTACGTGAATGTGAACACCTGAGAGACATTAGGAATATGTGTAGAATAATAAACCCCACATTGTTTGAGTTAGGAAAACACTATTTGTCAAATATTGATACTGTTCTTAAAAGATTTCCCCATTTTGCACCCGCAAGATAACGTAAGCTTTTAAGGGTTGATAAATGTTAATCTTCTTGTTTGAGGAGCTGTTCACTTGAGACAGTTAAGCAAGTCCCAGCTGTGTCTGGGTACAAGTGACAGGATGAACAACCCAGCGGGTTTTCTTCCTATTGGGGAGTGTTGTACATTCTGCTATGGCGGTATGTTAACTCACAAGATGAGTGGCGCTGCCCAATAAACTCGCCCCTCGGGGCAAAATTTAAATTACCATCTGAATGCGTTCTCCTGAGAGGATCTGTTCTGTTAAGATTCTTACCTCTTGCGACAGATCAGATTCTCACTTAAAACTTCCTGGAAACTTTTGTCAAGTTCTCTCTTTCTCTTATTTTTATATTACTCCGCCTCCATTTTTGTGTAGCCTGATCACCAGGCTGGTCGTTCACAGTCATCTTCCTGCAGATGGGGCTATGACGCAGATTAGGCTGGTCCTCAGCTTTGGCTGCTATGTCATTGCCTTAATTTACTGCATCTTCGCCACTAATTTGTTGTACTTGTTCCACATTTTTATACATTGTGATTGTCTTCTGTGTGTGCATTAACCTAGTTGTGCTTGCGGGGATTGAGCTCTGCTCTTTCGGCCCGCCTCTTAACTGTCAATCAACTGTTCCTAATAACTTTTTTCACACACATTCCAGAAAGCAGCCCGTAACAGCTGTCCAAGTCCCAGGTATTAATTTACTGCTAGGTAACAGGAGGATCAGAGTGAAAGAATCTAACTTTGCCCATCTGTTTCCACCGGCGCCGGGAATCAAACCTCGGACCACAAGATTACGTATATAGCGTGCTGTCCACTGAGCCACCAGCGCCCACTCACCTAGGCTCAAAAGTGAGTGAGTGAGTGAGTGAGTGAGTGAGTGAGTGAGTGAGTGAGTGTGTGTGTGTGTGTGTGTGTGTGTGTGTGTGTGTGTGTGTGTGGCCTAAATGTCTATCGCTCTATCGTCTTCCCCGTTTTTTCTTTAATGTGGATAGATCTACACTGTGTGTTTGTATGTTTTAACTTATTTTTATTTTCAACCAGGAGAGAGAGAGAGAGAGAGAGAGAGAGAGAGAGAGAGAGAGAGAGAGAGAGAGAGAGAGAGAGAGAGAGAGAGAGAGAGAGAGAGAGAGAGAGAGAGGGGGGAGGGAGGGGACTGACTGATACCATATATATATATATATATATATATATATATATATATATATATATATATATATATATATATATATATATATATATATATATATATATATATATATATGTTGTGCCTAGTAGCCAGAACGCACTTCTCAGCCTACTATGCAAGGCCTGATTTGCCTAATAAGCCAAGTTTTCATGAATTGTTTTTTGACTACCTAACCTACCTAACCTAACCTAACTATTTCGGCTACGTAACCTAACCTAACCTGTAAAGATAGGTTAGGTTAGGTTAGGTAGGGTTGGTTAGGTTCGGTCATATATCTACGTTAATTTTAACTCCATTAAAAAAAATTGACCTCATACACATTGAAATGGGTAGCTTTATCATTTCATAAGAAAAAAATAAAGAAAATATATTAATAAAGGAAAACTTTGCTTATTAGGCAAATCGGGCCTTGCATAGTAGGCCGAGAAGTGCGTTCTGGCTACTAGGTACGACATATATATATATATATATATATATATATATATATATATATATATATATGTCGTACCTAGTAGCCAGAACTCACTTTTTGGCCTACTAATCAAGGCCCGATTTGCCTAATAAGCCAAGTTTTCCTGAATTAATATATTTTTTCTAATTTTTTTCTTATGAAATGATAAAGCTACCCATTTCATTATGTATGAGGTCAATTTTTTTTTATTGGAGTTAAAATTAACGTAGATATATGACCGAACCTAACCAACCCTACCTAACCTAACCAAACCTATCTTTATAGGTTAGGTTAGGTTAGGTAGCGGAAAAAGTTAGGTTAGGTTAGGTTAGGTAGGTTAGGTTGCCGAAAAACAATTAAATCATGAAAACTTGGCTTATTAGGCAAATCGGGCCTTGAATAGTAGGCCAAAAAGTGAGTTCTGGCTACTAGGTACGACATATATATATATATATATATATATATATATATATATATATATGGGCACCCGCCTGAACCATCGGACGCTAAGTATTGGTGTTGCTCTGCGCCTTGCCGCCTCTATCTCCACCGAGCATCGGTGTATTTGCGGCCATGCACGGGCAGACCAATACGGCAGCCATGGTCTCATCTGTCGTAAGACACAGGGAAAGATTGCCAGACATGAAGCAGTCAATGACATCATTAAGAGAAGTTTGGCTTCAGCTGGATGCCCAGCACAAAGGGAA